ACACATAACATATAAATATTCATGAACATATTTATTCATAGGTTTATTTATATTCTTCTGAGTTAATGCACATATTTAAGAGTTAAGGCAAATAAATGTATTATTTTCTCATCTGTCATAAACCCATACTCTTCTTCCTCAGAGGATTATAATTTCATGTGCCCAGCAGAGTTGACTGTTTTATTAGGAAAAATATTTTGTAGTAAAGATATTTTAATGACTATCATATTGGAAAAATGGAGGCTTGCTATTAGGCATATTAGCATAATAATTTAAATTTCTTGTTTAAACATTGTGGAAAAATCACAAGACCAAATGAAGGACAGGTTGTTGCAGGATGTTGGAAGGGCCCTAGTTAAGGCACAGGTGCTTCTGTTCCTGTGAAAGCACATGTGAGGTAGCCAGAGGCCTAGGCGTTGTGGGCCTATTGATGTTTGCTGGTCAAGGGCACTTGATTTTGAACTCCTCTAAACCAGAACACCACAGGCTATGAGTTAGAATCACTCAGGTACTTAAATTTGTCTCTCTTAAAAACTCAGTTAAGTTCTTTATTAATTATTGTTTGTATGTATATATGGTATATATGTTAGGTGGTTGTGTGCTCATGAGCACACATGTGTAGAGGCTGATGGTCATCAGCTGTCTTCTATCATTATCCATCTTATTTCTGGGGACAGGGTCTCTCACTAAACCTGAGGCTCACTGATCTGGTTAAGGCTAGCTGGTTATCAAGCCCAGGGCTCCTCCTGTCTCTGTCTCTCAACACTAGGATTATAGACATGTACCATAGTGCTTGGTTTTTATGTGGGTGTTGGACACCCAAACTTAGGTTTTTCAGGTTTGCATGGCAAGTACTTTAGTGACTCAGCCATCTTTCCAGGCCCTTGAAATTTATTTTAAGCTCACACTATTAATGGATTTCCAGAACAGATTATGTTCAGCACTCTGTGTCTGGAGTGGCATCTAGGGGACTTTGGAGTTTGGTTTCTAGATTCACCAGAGCATTGCTAAGCACATCACCAAGAACCCTACTGTTAGGTTCGAAATCTTTTTTTTTTTTTTGCATGTGTCTAAGTGCACCTGTGTCATGCAATACCCTCGGAGGTCAGAAGAGGGTGTTGTATCCCCTGAAACTGGAGTTATGGACAGTTGTTAGCCACCATGTGGGTGCTGGGAGTCAAACCCAGGTCCTCTGCAAGAACAGTCAGTGCTCTTAACCACTGAGCCATCTCTCCAGCCCCTAGGTTCTAAATCTTTCAACGGAAATATTAATCTTGCCTTGTAACTTGACATCCAAAAGCTCATAGACACCTGCACAAATTCCAATACAGAGTACTCAGAAGTATTCATGGAAAGGTAATTTAAAAATACTGAACAGAATCAGTAAAGCATGTAGAGTCTGTACGTTTTAGAATTAAAAAAAAAGTTATCTTTTATCTGACTGTCACAATCTTTGCCTGCAACTCCTATTTTAAATGTGAATACATAAAGCATTTATATATAGGCTTAAAAACCAGTATCTGTTGTTTTTTATGACAGAACAATTCTTTCTAAAAGAGGAATTGAAGGGTCTTGAGAGATGGCCCAGTGGGGAAATGTACTTGCTGTGCAAGCTTGGCAACCTGAGTTTGATCCCCAGAACCCATATAAAGGTGAAGGAAAACTGTCTCCATAGATTATCCTCTGACCTCCACACGCTGCTGTGGTATGTGCGTATGCACCCCTACACACACCACACATAGGTAGTAATAATAAAATAAAAAAGAATTTGAAAAATTCAGTAACCAAGATCTTCAGAGCAAGTCATTTCTTGTCTTAATTAGTGTCTTCATGCAGTATTTCTGATCTGATGTTTAGGAGAGTAAAGAAGGCACTAGAGTGAGTAGGTCACCCGAGTTGTGTCTAGGCTTTGTTGGCACAGTAGACTTGGACCATAGTACTATCAGTCTGTTACAACACTCTGATGCCATGCTAGAAATACAAGACCAGCACAGTCACATCTTTCAAAGGACTACTGACAATCACCCTCTAGGAAACCAGATCTTAATCTGAGTTAGTTGGTAATTAATTAACAGAAAGTTCACTAAATGTGGTTTACAAATAAGGGGAAGTTGTCTTAATACTTTGAACAGTTCATTGGCACCGACAAAAGCAATCTAATACTATATGCCATCATATCAGACTCCAAAGAGAGAAGGCAAAAAGAACTGATTTTTATCTGAAAGTCAGTATATTAAAAGTTTACAAATATGGATTGTCATATGACAGTGTGCTTTAAACCATGGTTTTCTGAGCACTTTAAACTATTTAAAAAGGATAACAATATTTTTGAACATTAAATGTTTCAGATAAACATATATAACTGGGAAGAAGGTAGATTTCACAATTAGATAAACCTGAGATCAAATCCTGGTTCAATTACATGATTGCTAGGTTCTCTGAGGTTCAATTTCTTCATCTGCAAAATGAGGACAATACCTTATACTATGGGAAATTGCACAGATTATAAAAAATACAGGTGGACCACTTGGCACTAACAGGCACTCTGTGATACCATATGCAGCATTTTAATTACAGCATACAGTGGCACAGGCTTTCAATTCCAGGACTCAGGAGGCTGAGGCAGGAAATTTTAAGTTTGAGGTCAGCATAAGCTATGTAGTGAGACCTTGCCTCAAAACAATGATAAAAAGACCAAATTTATTTTTCTTTAATCTTACAAGGAGAGCTGTCAACTGTCCTCTGGTTGTTTCATTCTGAAGGCCAAACCTCACTGCTCAATGATTTTTGATAAATGAACAAATGTCACTGTAAACAGATATTTATGTGAGGCAATTATGACAGTACATTCAGTTGATATAGTTCACTATGTAGCAAAAAAAATAAGATTAAAGACTTCAATATTTACCTCATCAAAAGAGTTCATTAGTAAATCAGTCCATTTTCATAACCAGTTGTAATCAGACCTATATACAGCAAATTCTAATTTGATTTTATTAAATCTAATATTTTCAAAGTTCTTATTGATCTAGAGTTTCACTAAGCATGTGCATAGTGTGACTGATCACATCTATAACACTGCTGGATATGGTTCTCAGTCCTTTAGTTACTCAAATGCTAAACCTTTTCTTATGTTAATAAACTTTTAACTCATGTGTTTTGATGCTCCCAGCACTAGTAATCTGGGTCAGATGTGTACATAGATAAATGGAACAAGAAAATAACTGACCAAGACTACATAAAATATGCCTAAACCTGACAATCAGATGAACAAGAATATAAATAAATGTAGGCCTTTTCTACAGTAGATGCATTGAAATAATACATCATTATTGAAATACATACATTTTGCCCATATGACCTTAGACCTGACATGAAATAAACTATGGTAAGGTGTACCAAAACTACATAACAAATGAGACTGAGTGCTTCACCAAAATTACCAAAGGTATGCTCAATAAATATGGTACACTTTAAAACAGTTATGGATTTTATATAGCTTCACTTCTAAGTGCATAAAATTAAGCTTTTACTATCTAAAACAGCAGATGAGTCAGTGAAAAGTTGGAAGCCCTTTATGTACCCTTTAATTATCCTATTAAAGTTTCATGAGATTCCTTAAATTAAGAATACTAAGAAGGCACTAATCACTTCAAATATCTTCTAAGCCTGTATTTTTTTTAAAAATACGAGATCATTGTACAGCTTTTCATTAAATACTGACATCAAAACAATGCATAACACAAATTGTGAAGGATGGCGGGTATATGGTAGCGACACCATCAACAGACATGTAGATTACAGTAGCCTGTAACACTTCCAGCATCGTGACGTAATACACCCTACACACATCCACATGCTAACTTAGTAGGAAAGGGCCTCAGCAGTTTTCTCATTACTCTGGTTTTTACTTATTTTGAATCACCAGGGATTGAATTCAGGGCCTTGTGCATGCCAGGCAAGAGATCTAGCACTGAGCTATACTCCCAATCCCAAACAATGTAGTTTCTAAAATCTGTTGTTTTCAAATATGAATTTTAGTGTCTCTGCAATCATCTTTTATTTCCTTCCTGTGGTTTCCCATAGATCTGAAACCATTGGTGTTGGGCTTTGAGTATTTTCTCTAATGTTTTCATGGTCAAATTTTCAGATGCTTCAGTTTTTATAATAATTCCTGAGGATTTTATTGTACAAACCACAATTCTTTTTCTAATGTGCCTACTTTTACATAAACTTGTCTCCATTAATAGTGGGTGAAGATTTACATTATATTTGGGTCCAACACCTTAATATCAATGCTAAAAATAATAGCTTAGTTCTATAAGAAAATTTAAAGCAATTTCGAGATCAAAAATTCTGGAAATCAAGTTTTCAAGCCTTTTTTTATTAGAAAATTTAAATTACTATTTTTTTTAAAAAAAGAAGTAGCCAATATCCATTTTTAAATTTTCTTGAACAAATAAAAAGGATAGTAAACTAGGATAAAACATGAGAAGATAGCTTCCTACTTCATACAACTTTGAGTTACCCTTTCCTATCCATTCACCTAATCTGTTGAGCAGCAAGAAAAAAATATCCATTTCTTTTTTGTCTTTTTGGATTTTCCAAGATGCACTTCATTTACCTGAATATAAACCAAAGCTGGGAAAACGGCTTTTGTACTGGCAAAGACCAAGGCCATGCCTCATGCACCAGGAAACCTTGCCCTCTATGGCTTCTTTTGCAGTTTATAGTCCAATGGTTATGAAACCAATTGAAAGTCAAACAATATTCAAATGACACAGATGCACAACAAATAACGGAAACACATGGGATCCCCTAGGCTTTCTAACAGACAAATCCCTAGCATTCTGTAAATAAAATTATAAATACTAAAGAAATGAGAATTTTCACAATGGGGAAAGGAACGTTTCTTATCATAATAAATATTTTGGTACAAAAAGTTTAAAAACGTAGAAAAGTTTAGTACCTTTGGGTACTTTTTTCTAATAAAACCATACCTGCTTCAGAACTTGTTTGATTATAGCTGCTAACAATGCTGTTTGGTATCACTGGAGTGGAGGACGTTGAAATTCTTGACTGAGGTGGGTTGGGATGTAATGAATTTCCTAAAGCCATGCCCGACTGACTGAGCATCCCACAGTTCCCGCTAGCCTGAATCTGATTTATTAAACCTGCAAGATGGTGGTTGGGGACTGGACTGTTACTGTGAACAAAGTTAGTGTTTGCATTGTGGCAGTGCACGGCTTCCCCTCTTAAAGGTATGTTCTGTGTCAGTGAATTCTGAAGAACACTGGCGTTCATATTAGGATCTGTAAAATGCAGCTGGTTAGCAGAGCAAGGCAAAGCAGTATTTGATCCCCCACAACCCGGGGTACTATTGCTACTCAAGTGAGAGCTTTGACAACTCATAGACTGTAGTAACTGAGACATTGAACTGATGGGAAATGAACCCTGCCCTTGCTTCCTTAGCAAGTCGGGTCCAGGTTTAGGAACCGCAGAACTATCCATTTGAGACTGTCTGAGCAAACTCAACACTGTGGTAGGTGGTTGTTTTCTTTTCCGTAATGAGTCTTTTTGCTGAGACATCAGCTTATCTCTTAGTGCTGCTCGACCACTTTGACCTTCACCTGTTGGGAGAAGCATGTTGGTAGTAGGAGGGAACATGGTGTTTAAAGTGCTATGTCCTTCAGTGTTGCCACTGCTGGCAACAGCTCCAGAACTGCTACTGCTGCTGCTGTTGTTACCAGCAAGTTTGTTTTGATTTGCTAGCTGTGCTTTGGCTGCTGCTGAGAGTAAACTACTTGCTGGAAAGGAGGCAGCATTGTGCTGGTTCAAGATCTGATTTAAAGGCATCCCCAGCAAACCAGGCTGACTCTTTACAGAACCATTTCCGGCAGATGCAGTAGGAAAAGCTGCACTGCTTGGGGTATTTAGTACATTACTCATTCCAGCAATTAATGGGTTAGGGATATCCTTGTACTGATGATGTCCATCGGACTTGGTAGAAGGGCTTGATGGCATTGATGGCCTTGGGGAACCTATTGTTGACCTTGGTGACCTAGGTGGAACCTTTATGCCACTACAGGTGGGCTGGGGTCCTACAGGTGGCATCATGAAATTTCCATGATCTGATGATGTAGAAGATGAGCGTGATCTTTGGGGCGATGCCTCAATCCTTCCAATTCCAGTCCCCATCATGTGCACTGGGGATGTCACTGGAGAAGGGGACAGGGAGGTTGAAGCTGAATGCTGAACTCTTTGTACATGACTCCCATGATTCATATGACCAGGTTTTACAGTTGGCAAAGGGAGATTACTTGGCAAAGGAACAACAGCAGGAGGCATGCTTACATTCATCACAGGTACCTGAGAGTGGACATTTGAATGGAAACTGGTTGGATTAATGATAATTGGGTTCTGATTCACTGGTTTACTAGGAATAGGGTCAAGAATGCCAAGTGGATCTTTCTCAGATGTTAATGGCTTTTTCTGAAGAGCACAAGAAGGTGGAGGAGGGGGAGGTGGGCCTTGGGGTGCTTTGTGGTGGAACATCACTCGTGGTATTTCCATATTAGTTGAAAAATTACACATTGGTTTTTTCATTACTGGACTCTTTGTAGTCAAGGTTGGGGAAAGAGGTATATTAGTTCTTCCAGCCATTGCACAGGATGACTGTACGGGAGAACCATGTAGCATTACTGAAGGTGGAGAAAGAGGAGTCCTATTTAGGTGAATGGGACTGGAATTAGGAGCTCCATGAAAACCAGGGTTACTTCTTGTGAAGACATCAGGGCTTCCAAGTGGGTCAGTCCTTGGAGAGATTGAGCCATCTCCATAGATCTGGGAACCCGATGACGCTGGGCTGGGCAAGCCTCCGTGGCTGCCACGGAATGGAGATTTCTGTCCATGTTCACTACTGCCCAATCTCTGCCGGGGGTAGACAGGGTGGAGTTCTTGTTGCTGGCTTCCAGGCAGGTCTTGCACATACAGCCTTCCCATGGCATTGGATGATCCAATCATTAACTTGAAAGGATTCTTACATTCAGGCATTACAGAATTTGTAATTCCTTCGTGAGACTTATTTCTTACTGATCTTGGAGTTGCTGCCCGTGAAGGTACTACTGGAGTTGCATCTAATGTGAAAGAGAGAAAGAGTTCTGTCAGTAGTCTCAATTATTTTGTGTTGGCAGGAAGTGGGGAAAGAGGAAACTGAGGAGGGTGAGAGAAAAAGGCATCTGGGAACAAAAAAACAAACAAACAAAAAAGCTGTGAACTTACATAGTTAAGAAAGGTTCTGTAGGGTATATCAAACTTTGATTTAAACAGAGTACATTATTTGCCCTTAGCTGACCACAGTGCTCAATAACTTTATTATTATACTTGCTTACTTTAAAAAAAATTTATTTTTATTTTCTGTGTATGGGTGTATTGCCTGCCTGTGTGTAAGTGCACCGGTGTCATGCAATGCCCGTGGAGGTCAGAAGAGGGTGTTGGATACCCTAGAACGAAAGTTATAATTGTTATCCATCATGTGGGATGCAGGGATTCAAACCTGGGTTTCTGCAAGAACAACCAGTGCTCTTAACCTCTGAGCCATCTCTTCAGTCCCTACTTGTTTACTTTTTATTTGTTGAGAAAGCATAGGCATATAAATCAGTACAGACTGACATTAGTCATTCAAATATTTAGAATTTGCAAAACCAAGACTCAGCCCAGATGGAAATGGTAATTTTACTGTCTTGCTAGATTTTATTTATGTATTTTTTTCCTGGAGATAGAGTTTCAACTTGTTACATTGACTAGGCTGGCATTTACCTACCTCTGCCTCTTGAATGCTGGGATTAAAGGTGTGTACCATCACACCTGGCTTGGATTTGAAATTTATAAGAACACATTTACAGTAGAAAATTGCACTCTGTGTGGCACATTTTCTCTTATTATTTAAATAAATGGCTATTCTGTAAGACAACATGTTACGGTGCAACTCTTTTTTACCACCTTACTGTAACCTCCTCAGGACAGCTATAGTGATACTCCCTTATCCCAGCATTTTTTTTTTTTTTTTTTTGGTCTTTTTGAGACAGGGTCTCCCTGTAGCCCCAGCTGTCCTGGAACTCATTAAGTAGACCAGGCTGGCCTTGAACTCACAGAGATCCGCCTGCCTCTGCCTCCCAAGTGCTGGGATTAAAGGCATGCGCCACCACGCCCAGCTATCCCAGCATTTTTATCCTAAGAGTGAGGCTCTTCATTTCTGTGAGTTGAGTGACTAGGAGACTAAATCTTCTATAATATACGTGATAATGTAGTGATATTATAATCATGCTTAGCTTTACATCATGTCTATAATACTGTAATATAATTTCTTAATTGGTTCTTGTAAAAACAGCTTTAGCCAACCAACTTAGGTAAAAGATTCCCATCCTTTTTATTAGGACAGACTTCTCACATGAAATTTAGCTGAGTGTTGAAACCTTCAGTACTTCGTTTCAATTGTGTATTCTTTTTACCCCAGTTCACTTCTCCTTCTCTGTCTTTTCAGAATCCCTTCAGTTCTTCTGGAGATCAGACAGAATATAGGCAACAAAAGCAAGCTGGCTCATCATACAGAATTTTTAGTCTTTTGTGTCAGAATTCTAGGTTTAAGGTTTCTTTTTTTCCTCCCCCGACCAAGGATGTTTAAGTATTTTATGAAGTTGTGCCTTTTAAAACAGAGATGGCAAATAATATTCATTTGCCAACTCCTACTAATTTCTGGTGGCTGCTTAGAGAGCTGTGTTGAAAAGAATGCTCAGTTCTAGCTGGACTCTAAGAAAAATGCAGCAAGTTTATAATAAGGCACAGAAGATGAAAGTGGTACCAATTATACTATGTATTTGCTCTACGTATTTTGAGACTTAAAGCATATTAGCAATTATACTTAGGTTCATTTGCAATCAGAGGTATACTTATTTAAAAGGGTAATTATAGGATGCACTTCTATTATATTTGCAAGAGAGTATACAGGTCGAATCATATAATAATCTCTAAGATGGTGTTTCTCAACCTGGGGCATGTTAAAGTCTAGCAGGAAGAGAGAGCAGTGAACATCTCTTTTTTTTTTCCTGGCAAAAAGGCAGACTTTCTGATTTAGGATGGCAGGAGTTATCTGAAAGACTAACAGTGTTGAGAATCAACAACAGAACAGAATAGAAAATAAACTGAATTGAGGCTGTTTTCTTGCCAAAGAGAGATTTTTTTAAAAAGATATTTTATATTTTATTTTATTATGTGTATGAGTATATTCCCTGTATGTGTGTAAATGCACCCGTGTTGTGCAATGACCATGGAGGTCAGAAGAAGGCATCAGATCCCCTAGAACTGGAGTTAAGATGGTTGTTAGCCGCCATGTAGGTGCTGGGAATCAAACCTGGGTCCTCTGTAAGAACAGTCAGTGCTCTTAACTGCTGAGCCATCTCTCCAGCCCGCTAAAGAGAGACTTTAAATGTATTTAATTAAAGAAGTAATGAGTTACAATATGCAGGACATGTGCTTGGTATATAGTCAGAATAGAGTTAAATGTGGTAACATCACTAGCAAGATCATGGGACTACGTTCTCTTTAGCGACAAAACCACTTGCTTACATCTTTTCTTGGTATCAATATATTTATATAATTAACTACAGCTTCATGTTTCAAATATAGATGTGGTCATTTTTATATTCAACTAACAGAATTCAGACAATACCTGTGCATTAGAAAGGATTTCTTCTATAGTTGGAGATAAATTGTTACTATCTTAAAAATAACAAAAATACTAAACAGACCAAAAGAAGCGAGGCTGATATTGAATAAGAACCAAATAATGAAGAGTTAGCAAGTGCAAATGCTTGGCATTCTTCAGGTACTGCCATGTGTATTCAAGGAGAGCTTTGTTTTTGGTCTTTTTGAGACAGGGTCTCCTTGTAGCCCCAGCTGGCCTGGAACTCACTATGTAGACCAGGCTCAAGGAGAGCTTTTAAATGAACAAATGGAAACAAAGTTAATATTTATGCATTTATTTAAAGGGAGGTGACACTTCTCTGTGAGTCTTCTGAATTTCTAATTATTGAAACTTCAATTTATGATAACATAAAGTTAGAAAACAAATGCTATGTCTGAAGAAGACATACCATTTTAAAAGGGCATGGGGGGGCACGGGAGAGATGGCTCAGTGGTTAAGAGCACTGGCTGGTCTTGCAGAGGACCCAGATTTGATTCCCAGCACCCACTTGGCAGCTAACAACGGTCTGTAACTCCAGTTCCTGAAGATCTGACACCCTCCTCTGTCCTCTGTGGGCACTGCATGACAAGAGCGCACTTACATGCAGGCAATACATTCATACACATAAAATAAAAATAAACAAAATATTTAAAAGGGCATGGGGATGTACTTATTACTACCTGTACTAGTTAAATATTTCATCTTTAATTTCAATAATTAATATGTATGTACAGGCATAGTAAAGGATCTAGAACAAGATTCTGCTAGGGTCTTTAAAGCAACAAGGCAGACTATGGAGATAGGTAAAGCTTTTTGATATAATGTGGGATGAAAACAGCACAGGTAAGAGTAAGTGCAAACACATGTTCAAGGTGCCTGAAAAATGAAAATACCTACATTAAGGTGGTAGGATAATGGGAAACTTTAAATGACTTATTACTATCAAATGTACCTTTTCAGTGTTGCATTAGCTTGCATTTTTCTCAATGGTTTGTCCTCAGTTCGCCTTTAAGTCTGATTAGTTTCCACATCATCCCTTAATTAAGCTAACCTCGTGCTAAAAAAAAGATTTTCCACTCTCCTCATATATCTAAATTCTATTATTTTCCCAACCCGGCCCACATCTGAGTTCTGCCACAAAGCCTTCTCTGATTGCGTGCCACTGTTTTCAGAACTTTGTAGAAAAGAATCATCAACTGTCCACCAACAAATGCTTTGGAGCTCAGGTGAGAATTACAGCTTAGGTACTAAGTAGATTGTAGTACTCTGAAGGGAGTTCACATTTTAGACATTACAAACATGTTTCTCAGCCTTAAGTAATTCCACAAACTATAATGAAGGGGAAATGGTATGTTAACAATGGAAAAATGGAATGGACACAATCCAGCAAGTAATCACATTTAATGTCATTGACACAGGATTAACTGATGTGCTTTCTAATGACTGTATATTGTCGTCCATGCAGTTTTCCCACCAAGCTGTAGGAATGTGAGCATAAATGAAGCAAGAGGAAACAAGCAAGCAGATCCAAACAGAGGAACATTCTGCAAAGCAATCTATCTTCCTCAAAAATGTCAGTGTCAGAAAGAACTGACAAAACTAGGGAGCTGAAGATTAAAGAAACGTCAGGCTAATTGTAGAGCACAATTTAATTATATTCTAGCTTCTAAAAAAGACTGAATCTTTTAAAAAAGCTAAAGATATGTTAGGAAAATTTAAGAATTTGTATATAGACCATATTAGATAACAGAATTACATCAGTGTTATATCATTAGATTGTGGCTACATAGGAGAATTTCCTCATCAGGAAGCACTTGATGTTATCTCCAACATTCATCTGCAACTTGGGAAATAAAACTGAAGGGCATTGGGGCATTCTGTGAACTATCCTTGCACTTTTGTGTACCTTTGAAGAATTTTATAGGGGCTGGACTGATGGCTCAGTGGTTAAGAGCACTGACTGCTCTTGCAGAGGACCCGGGTTCGATTCCCAGCACCCACATGGTGGCTACGAACCATCCTTAATTCCAGTTCCAAGGGTCCAAGGGTATCCAAAGCCCTCCTCTGACCTCCACGGCATTGCAAGACATGGGTGCACTCACATACATGCAGGCAATACGCTCATACACATAAAATAAAAATAGTAAAAAAAGAAAGTAAAAGTGTCAGGGCTGTTGAGATGGCTCAAGTGGGTAAAGGTGCTTGTCACCGGGCTCAATGACCTGAATTTGATACATGGGACACACATGGTGGAAGGACAGAATTGACTCTTGAAACTGATGTGTACCTTGCCACTTGCACATCCACATACAAACACATTTCAATAATAAATGTAATAAAAATTTTATTATAAAACGAAAGTGTGTGTGTGTGTGTGTTGGTGGTATCATAATAAATTCTTGATCAGGTGATTTCTATTTGAGTAGCTGTTCTATAAACAGCTATTATATGATTAAAAGAATACTATGGTTAACTTATTTGGGAGTTGATATTATATATTGAAATTCAGCCTATGTAAACGGCTATATTTGTTTCCTAAAATCGAATGTCACCTTTTTCCTGTTATCTTGTCTGTATGTATCTGCATAGCATTTTAATTTACTAATTAGTGTTTACTATGATTGTATAATTGGATGTTCTGAATAAGAAAAATTTAGAAACAACCCCATGGTAATTTTTCAGAAGAAAGTGGTTAATTTTCATTTAAAATGACAGACTATACAAAACATTAAAAGCACTGTACATGTTCAAAAACTAGAATGGATTTGTAGCAATTCTTTCTTTGGAATGGAGTCAGGCAGGAGAATTCCTAACCCACTAGCAATATTACATACTTGTTCCTCCTCCAGGACTGGTGAGCACCAGAGAAGGGTGTGGAGCTTCCATGCTTCTATGGAGTGTGGCCACCGCAATGATTTTTCTCTTATGAATGCACAACTTTGTGACGTCTTCATCTGCCTTAACATCTTCTGCCGTTCTCTGCTTCACAGCAGCTCCAGGATCAAAATTAAATACCTGAAAAAACAGCAGCCTCTGTTTATAGTATATCTATGAAATCATTTAATGAAAAGCTTCTCTTGTTTACAAGGAGAAAAGCTGTACATAGGTTAAACTACAAATATGAATACAACTTTTAAGGTTTTAAGTTTAAGAGAAACAGCTTTCTATACCCTATAAATACTTCTGCCAAACTCATGGCTTTTAGGGACAAAATAAATGTTGAAAATTACACTAATTTTAAGATAGGCAAGTAAAACACACAGAATATAATGTCTGATAATGTTTCCAATTTTAGCTACTTCCTAGTGGCATAACAGTTATAAAATACGTGAAGTAGAGTCTAATAAACAAAATGGAAAGCTCTGGCATTCCTATGTTTCTATTTTTCCTTTTGCTTCCTTTCATTACCACTGTACTATTACTTCTTCATTGACCTAAAACTATTGTAAATTTGAAAAATCTTATTATGTAAATCTCTTTAAAATATGGTAACATACAAAAGCAAAAGTGTTTATTAATCTTTAGTTTTAAAATTAGCACTAAATATGCATTCAGAGAATAATTATTCATTTATAGACCCAATAATAGTTCACCATTTTAAATGACTTTTGCTTTTTACCTTGAAAAGCAGCAAAACAGCTTCACATTTGCGATATGAAAGCTGAGCTTTGTGATTTTTAGGAATATCTGATTTATCAACAGAGATTTACCAACATCTGTGCTAAGAGTAACAGTGCAGATCTGAGCAGTGAACAAAAGCCTTGTACTGTGAACACTAGGTATAGGCATACCTAATAAACAGGCATATGAAATATTCAGTATGCATATAGGTTTGTCACCTTTGAATATGAATCAGATTATTTTCTACAATCTTCAAGCATTTAAAAATGCACATAAGGGGTCTGGAGAGATGGTTCAGTGGTTAAGAACATTGGTTGTTCTTGCAGAAGACCTGGGTTTGAATCCCAGCACCCACATGGCAGCTAACAACTGTCCATAACTCCAGTCCCAGGGGATCTGACAGCCTCTTCTGTCCTCTGCAGGCACTGCACAACACGGGTGCACTTACCTACGTGCAGGCAATACATGCATACACATTAAAATAAAAATAATAAAAAAACTTTTAAATGCACATAAAATACTTAAAATGAATATATGTTTAGAAAAGCAATCTAAAAATTAAGTACCAAACGAGAAAAGCAAATATGTGAAATACCTAAAAAAGAAAAAACCAGACCAAAAAACTGCTGTAACTCTATGAAATGATTACCTTAGGAAGAATAAGAGGACATTCCAAGCCACACTTGCATGTTCCATCAGTAAGCAGGTATGTTTTAACCTGCTCCAAGCAAGATAACAAAGACCCACTGGGACTGTAAAAATAGTTTAAAAAAACATCAGGAAATAGTTTTGACTACACATATTATAAGAAGAAAGGCATAATTTATAGTCTTACCATCTTTCAGAGGATAATATTTTCCTACTGGGGAAAAGCATTTTCTTTGTCAATATTATGTTAGCTACTAAATTATAGCCTCTAACACTATCTTTTTCTTTTGAACCAAAATATTTCTCAGAAAAATACATTTTTCATAGAAAATTAAACAGAACTATTTCAAAAACCAGGAAGAGACTAAAGATGGGGAAAAAAAACTATTCTTAAGAAAGGACAGAAACAGGCGAGAAAGGAAGAAGAAAACGACATAAAAGTAATTGCTATCATTTTAAACTGCAAGGTTTGCTTTTAAAGCTCTTTGAGGAAAAACTGAAATTTAGCAAAATGCTAAAGTTCAAACCAGAAGGTCGTTAAGTATAAAAAAAGTCAAAGCTAACAAGTTCTTTGTGTCTCTTGGAGTCTAAAACCAAGCTATTCCTACCTATGTAAAAAGATATTTTCTCCCCAACTCCCCTCAGTGTTTCTTTGAGGATGCAGGAGTATGCTCCAACTCAAATTACACTGAACAGTCAAACTGTGCAGAAAGGGGGAGAGGAATTAAGACGAATTGAGGAGATAGGGTGGCAGGTGGGCAAAAGGTGGCTTATGGGTCTTGGGGCTTGTAACCAGGTAGACACTTCAGGGTTACTGTTCTTCCGAACACGAAGTCAGTAAAGTCAGTAAATACTGATGAACTTCAAGTCTGTAGGTAGGTATTAATTCAGATGACAGGGTAAGTCTTTGACTTTTATCTATAATAGGGATATATTTTAAAACAGAGAATTTGTATTTTAGATATTATTATTAGTAGTAGTATAGGCTGATTTTTACAACTTGTTTCTTATGCAAATCATTACTGCTGGACAGAGGCTATCTGCCTCCACAAAAACATGGGTGGTAGTTGAGTACTTATAAGTCAACTCCATTTAAAATATAATTTATATTTTGTTTATGGACAATTATAAAAGTGACTTTGGCACAAAGGAACACCTTGTAAGAAAATCTTCAATTTAGTCAAATGATCTATTTATAGAGTTTCACCAGAGTACATGGGCAACAAAATTGAGTTTTTTTGTTTTTTGGTTTTTTTTTTTGTCTTTTTGAGACAGGGTCTCCCTGTAGCCCCAGCTGTCCTGGAACTCACTATGTAGACCAGGCTGGCCTTGAACTCAAAGAGATCCACCTGCCTCTGCCTCCTGAGTGCTGGGACTAAAGGTGTGCACCACCACACCTGGCTTTATTGAGCTTTTTAAATTTCATACATTTCCCACTCAAATCCAGACCCCTTTCCCCATCCAAGCTTCCTCCTGTCCCCCCACTGAACCCTATGCTTTCTGCCACACATGCTGAGTCCTATTCATTCAGGTGTTTGTACCCAAATGTCCGTCAGTGTAAATGCGTCCACTGGAGTCTAGTCAGCCCATCTAGTGGTGGTATTCAAGTCATACTCTCCCTCACCCAGAGGCAAGCACATTCAAATAGTTCTCAGAGACTGTAGAGTGTAGGGTGGGACTCCTATATGGCACCTCACCCACCCATGGCTCAGGGACCATTGCAGAAGAGGAGGCAGAAAGACTGTAAGCACAAGGGCTGGTTCATGAACACAGGGAGGTGGAGGCTTCCAGACCAACAAGGTGTTTTTGGAAGTCTGATAAGTTCAACAAGACAGTGTCACCAAAATATATACTACTGATTTTTTCCCATGAAGAATTAGTAAGCTTGGTGAAAAGAAACTCAGTATTTTACTTAAAAGAAAATGTATGAGCTGAATCCTAGAGGGATTTAATTGTAAAATTTAACCTGAAGACAAGAATTCCTAAATTCTATTGAGTACTCCAGACACTGTAAAAAGTACTTCCTGCCACTCAGTCAGATTCTTTTCCTCAGTTATAGCTCTTTAATTAACTTTCGGGACTAATTAGTGTAAAAAAAGTTGCACGTCTTAAATCATAGGTAAGGCTTAAAAGATCTGAAACAGGTGGAAAACTTAATGTGTAGTCTCAGTGCCACCCTGAGGCAGGAACAGCTGGAAACTAACCCAAAAATTGTAAACTGTACATTGAAAAGGGAGCAATAGATGGTGGGCTCACTTCTGACAAATGTTCAAGTAGTAATTTAACTGGTCCCATCCAAACAAATCAGACCCATGCTAGCCTGATTTAATTTGAAAGCATTTTAATTTTACCTTATCTGGGAATGTTGCTTTTGAAAATAAATCTTGGTGTATAGATTTGTGTTGGGAGACTTCACGCTAACAGAATTATCAGAGAGTCAAGTCTAGAGAGATTTAAAAAACCATGAACAAGGTAATTGCAGATTCTTAGACCTTAATTTGGTTTTCGATTTCTAGACTTGACTTGATTTTTGCTCAGAGCAATGTGAAAAGCTGATTTTATAAGGTTGAAAATGAAGTAAAAAATTTATCAAGGTTTTAGAGTCACTTGGTCTAGGCAGAATATACATTTCTCTTTATATCTTAAACAACCATAAACATGTCACTGACATTTTGCAGTGCTAAAAACAAAATATTTCTGACAACCTATATACCACATTGGTAATAGGAAAACTTTGAGAAGATTAATCCATGAGCCCCTGTCCATCTTATTTACCATGGCTTGAACACCACATCCTCTACTTTCTTATCCCATAACTATAGGTAACATAGAGCATTTTATTTTTTATTTTTATTTTATTTTGGTCTTTTTGAGATAGGGTCTCCCTATAGCCCCAGCTGGCCTGGAACTCACTATGTAGACCTGGAACAGTCTTTACTGTCTCAATCATGAAAATGCAAACTTAGAGGGAGTACAGATAAGAGCTCACCTGATGTAAAGCACTCCATTGTGGTCCACACGACGCTGCCAACCCACAGGAACTTGAATAGCTGGAAGACCTCCTTCCTTGTCCCCTCCGTCACACTCTTTGCCTCCATTCATTTTCTGTGTCTGCTTGGGATGCTCCAAAGATATCAGCAGTAAAATGATATCCTTCTACTGTAGAGCATGATGGCCTTCAAAAATGGGCCGACGCAGTACAGTTTTCCCCAGACTGTACAAAATGCATTGGGAAGCTTTGGCTCAGTTTGAAACCAAGTCCTTGAAATCTGCCATTATGAAAATCAGTTTCCCATTATAATCTACATTAAATACCCAGTATTTCATTCCTAGGCATGGTCTACATGGGCAAAAATGAATACTTCCAACCAGGGAAAATCATAATTCACTATGCTGGTACCTGTCTGAAGTGGGGGAGGAGGAGCAAAAAGTTTTTAGTTGTACATTTTGTCTTGAACTTTGATGTTGGACTAAAATAACCTCTACTGTCTAGAAACTGGTCTCATTTTTATACCATGAGTCGGTTAATATTTCCAGGCACTACCCGCCTTTATAGGCCACATTCTTTAAACTTTCTCTTTATTTTCCAATATGCATCCAAGGTATTGCAGGTTGGTTCATCTGATGTCTTCATGACTTCAAAATTTCAATATTGTAGCCTGAAACATATGTAAATATGTCAACTGTACATTTAATATTGAAAATTGAGAAATCACATAATTTTAAAATAGAATAAACTTCAAAGCACACACAACTTTGGTATTCTCTGTAATCCAAATCATATGTAAAACTGAACTTGTTTTCTTCCAAATCAATCAACTTACTCTAGTTCATTTTACTTGCTTTTCACTATAAGCAACTTTTTAAATTATTGGCGATAGATCCATAATTTGCATTTGCTCTCTCTCTCCCGCTCTCTCTCACATATACACACATACAGAGTCTCTTTCTAATTTGAAATAAAAACATATCCATCACTTATCATGATTTGTCAATCAGAAAACCATGTTAATCCACACATGATTTGATTATTCCTTAATACTATACACAGCTATGACTCAGTTTTCTTTCCTAATCATTTTTTTTCTTTTCCTTTTAAAGAAATAGGTAGATGAAATAAAATGGGTACATTTCTAAATGTAAGAGATTGTCCATTAGTAATACTGAATATGAGAATATCTTTTTAGTTAAGATTTATTAACCCCCTTATATTGTGGGGTAGTCTCTCAATGAAGTGCTGTTTGAAAGAGACATATCGGCTGAAACAAGTGATAAGAAGTACTGCAAAAATGCTTGTAGAAATCACCTTGATGAAGCAATCGAATAAAAAAAAAGGCAAAAAGTACATTAAAAAAAAGATTTAGATACCAGGTGTGGGGTGCAAGCCTTTAATCCCAGCACTCAAGAGGCAGAAGAGGCAGATCTCTGTGAGACTAAGGCCAGCCTGAGTTCCAGGTCAGCTGGGGCTATGGGAGACCTGGTATAAAAATAAATAAATAAATAAATAGATAGATAGATAAATAAATAGAATTAGTACTTAAATTTATAGAAAATGTGATGCCATAGTTGGTAGAACCATGTTAAAAAGAAGCCTACAGAGGTCAATTTAACATCAACTATGTTGTCACATCACTGGAGTCATAAAACTACATTAAATGATGCATGAAGAATATTATCCCAGTGTCTCACAGTGAATAAACTGTCTTACAGTGAAGGCAATTATGGATATAGGCACATGCCTTATTTGCGCTTTGGTTCAGAGACAGGTTTAGGGTGCTGAATACAATAGTCCCAAGGGGCCTTATGCTGGGGATATGCATCACTGTGCTTGCTCTATTGTACTCTGCTTCTCAGAGAAATGACCCACTTTACAGGCTTAATATTTGTACTATGCCTGTGTTCCTTTTATTGAACTTTAACCATGTCTGTAATTATTCATATTTCCTTGAACACCTACACAGAAGTTATAAATTATTAGGCATTGTGCTAATGATGTACACAATGATGTCTTAAGGTATGAATGTTTTGAGTCTTCTCAAGATTGAAATTTTAACACTTGGGGTGATGGTATTAGGAGGTAGAGTCTTTGAAAGGTAATCAGTTCATGAGTGGAGCCTTAATGAATGACATTAGTGGACTGAAGAGGGATTGCTTCAACTCTGTGAGGTTATTGTGAAGAGATAGGCATCTATGGACCAGAAAGGAACCTCTAGTAGACACTGTATCTACAGAGGCCTTGATTTTGAACTCAGCTTCCAGAATGGTAAGAAATACATTTCTGTTCTTTAGAAGCCATGTAAGTTTATGATATTTTATTTAGTAACCTAAACAGACTAGGAGCAAGGAACCTGTTTATCCACAGCAAAGCAATGTTTTGCACTGAGCTGTTTAAACATGAAAATAAAAATTGAACTGTATTTTCACTGTGCAATAATAACCACTGCAAATAGACATCTTTCAATTATTTGTTTTTATAAGTATTAAAGTGCACATTAAAGAGCTTAACATAATAAATAACAGTGCGTCACTACTCCAAATTTACAGGGTAAGCATGTTGTTGTTTTTACTTTTTTAAAATAAAAGACTTAGAAAACATTGCAGATGATACTAAATATTATCCCCAATTTCCACCTCATTTCTCTTTTCTGACCCATTATCCTCCTCCTTCTCAGAGGAAACTACCATCATTCTTTTGATCTGTATCCTTCCTGGTCATGTTTTCACAAGTTTATTTTCTATGTACATGCACAAACAACACTTGTACTGTTAAATGTGTTTTCAAATGTCATGTAATTTTTCAACTTGCTTTTTAGAATTCAGTATTATTTTGGAAAGTATCTCTCTTGAGATTATCTCTGTGGGGCTAGTTTTTATCAACGTGACACAAACTCAAGTCACCTGGAAGGAGGGAACCTCAGTTGAGGGGTAACTCCATCAGACTGGCCTGTGGGCATGTCTGTGGGGCATTTTCTTGATTGCTAATTGAAGTGGGAAGGCCCAGCTCATCATGGGTCACACCATTCCTGGGCAAGTGGGACTGGAGTGTTTATGAAAAGTAGCTGAGCAAGACAGGAGGGAGCAAGCAGGCAAATAGTGTTTCTCCATGGTCTTTGCTTCAGGTCCTGCCTGTAACTTCCTGCCCTGGCTACCCTTGGTAATGGACTATAACCTGTAAGTTAAATAAATCCTTTTCTCCTCAAGTTGCTTTTGGTCATGGTGTTTATTACAGCAACAGAAACCAAATCAGAACACTGTTAGAGATACATAGGTCGAACCCATTGACTTAAAGTTTTTCTTATAATTTATTATTATTTATGTGCATGCACATGCATATGATATATGTGGGAATCCATGCCATGACATTTTGTGGCAGTCAGAGGACAACTTTTGGAGTTGGTTCTCTCCTTCCATCTCTATGTGGGTTCTAGGGATAGAACACAGGTTGCCAGGCCTGCACAACAACCCTTTTTTTGCTGAGTCATCTCACTGGCCCCAATTCATTGAATTTAACATCTGAATATTATTCTATGGTATACATACTTATGTATTGGTATAAAAAGCATTTTAATGTTGAGTAATAAAGTTTGTCATTATTATTCTCCATTTTACAAGTGTGTATCAAAAATGCTCATGACCAAAGTCTTCCCACCAAATCCATTTTTCCCAAGTCCCCCTTTTATTTTCATGCTTGTTTTGTTGGGGACTCATTGCATTTAATTGGGACCACCTGCAGGAGCATGGGTGGGGTGATCTGCTTGCCCTTGAGGAGGCAATGTCTCAGTGGCTCCACCACTGAGGACTGTGATGCTTCTTTTCCTGAGTCTGAACATTTTAAACTCTTTAGGTACTGCTAAATTGCTATCTAAAGTAACTACTGTTTTACATACTTTCCCATTTATGAATGTGTCCTTTTCTTTTCTTTTTTTTTTTTTTTAAAGTATTGAATCATCTACCAGTTCATATTTTTTCTCCTTGGGCACGTTTTACGGTGTGAAATATTTTTCCTAAACATGACTTTTAATCACTGGATGCATTCTGGGGAGGGGGATTGTGTCCCCATTGGCTAGTTCCTCCAATGGGCAGGGCCTGCCACAGAGTGTGGATTATGGGGGTGTGGCTGGGGAGCCATCTTGGAACGGAAGGCCCGAGCCTAGCTGAGAAGCCATGGAGCTGTGGGAACTGCACAACAGCTGAAAGACATAATGGACTGACCTTTATGGACCTGGGGGCGATCCCTGGCCCCAGAGGTGTGAGCAAATTATGGCTGTGGCAAGGTCTGATAAGGCAGGCTCTGAGGCACAGCGCTGGGCTAGGCACTGGGTACTCATTCCTTTGTAAGTTAATAAATACACGTAAAATATATTATATGGTTTGTCTGATCGCACCGGAGATCCAGAGAGAATTCAGGCCACAGGGGTACATGTACTGATTACTTTCATTCCTTTTGTGGACCTAGCTTTTGACCCCCCATCTTAATAATTTACCTTGAATGATTTGCTAAAAAAGAAGTGCACAATTTCAGGGCTCTTGATACATTCTTTAAAGTGCCAGAACAGTCATTTATGAAAGCATTTTAGGCTATGTTTCTCAAACTTTTGAAGACTCTGCGCACCTTCCTTTGTAAAAGGTGAAGGTGTGTCTACTTGCTGCCAGGATTCTGAGAATCTTATCTTTTACAGAGACCCATCACCCAAGAGGCAGTCATGCTTTTCATTTATAGCTTTCAATGAAAAAACTGAACAGTCTCCTGTTTTCCAAATTTAACATTTTAATATGACTGCACTTCAAAAAAACATATTTCATAACTTTCCCTCTTTTCCCTTGGAGACCCATTTTGTTTATGTGGCTTCTTTAAATTCCAGTAAAAACAGGTTAAAACAGAAAAAAAGAAAAGTGTTATAATAAAGCTACCTCCACTTCACTAATACTTTGGGATCCAGGATTGTTCTGCTTTGGACTTATTTGTATTTATTCCACAAACAGTTCTGTAGCAATAATAATGAAAGTCAAGTGTGTGCATTTATGCATATGTGTGTTCTGAGGGAGGTATCTGCTCTAATTCTATCCATGTTTTCTTGCTTCCTTTCAATATGCAAATTAGTCTGAAAATTGGCTTTGAGAGAATTGAATTTCAGTGGCTTGATTTTCTGTGCTGCACTGGCTTCCTCTGGCCATTCAGATTTAAATAAGAAGTTACTTCCTCCAGAAAACTATAATGTAAAGCACAGGCTTGCACTTTGTTAATTCAATGATACTTTCTATTTTCTGCTTATGATAATTATTGATTTGTTTACTGACTGTATTTTCTGGTAGGAGTGTAATCTCTCAGAGAGAAACTGACTCACTTCATCTTTCATATATTCACAGTTCCTGATATGGTCCCAGTAGGTGCTTAATTATTTCCTGACGATTGTGTATAGTCTAGTTAATATAATTTTACATTCTTACTTTTATCATTTAAGCTTATGGGACATTTTAGCAACACAAGTTTAAAATCAGAGGGGTTTTTAAAAGGAGCCGATGAGTATATGCCTGTTGATAAAATCTAAAAAGCATTTTTTTTGCTCTAGATTTGTCCCTAAGGATCTCACAATTTTTGAATAATAACTCCTGTATAGCAAAAGATGGGCCTTCTATGAATATTAGTATACTAATTTGT